TGACCTCACTCGTGTGGCATCTAAGCACAAACAGCATGCGGTGCCGTGTAGATGCGGACAGCAGATTAGTGGCTGCCGGGGTGGGGCGTGGTGGGAGTTGGGGGGGTGAAATGGTGAAGGGGGTCCAAAGGTACAGACTTCTGGTTATGAGTCCTGGAGGTGTGGGGCACAGCGTGGGACCGCACCTCATACTCTGTTGCATATTTGAAAGTGGCTAAGGGAGTTGATCTTAAAATTTCTCATCAGAAGAAAAAGAAGTCTCTCTGTAGGTGACAGATGTTCACTGCAGTTATTGTGGGGATCTTTTCCCAGTGCAGGGCTGGGCCAGAGTGGGTTTACAGTTGTTCATATGGAAAAATACACTATCGACAAATACGGAACTGTATGTTATATACCTGAAGCTGATATATGTCAGTTATACCTCCATTAAAAAATAACTTAAATAATTAAAAAAAGGTGAAAGAATTAAAAACTTTAAAAAAGTTTATTGAATTTAGAAAGAGATAGAGAAACGTTGATTTGTTGTTTCACTTATTGATGCATTTATTGGTTGGTTCTTGTGTGTGCCCTGACCAGGGATCCAACCCACCGCCTTGGCGTATCAGGACCAAACTCTGACCAACTGAGGCATGCAAGCTGGGCATTTGCCCTGACCTGGAATTGAACTGTGACCTCCTGGTTCACCGGCCGGGCTGCAATTCATCTTTTTAAAGTGGTGTTAGAAGGTTGTGTGACCATCACAGCTATCTTATTCTAGAACAGTTTCATCACCACCCCTGCCCCAACTCCCTAGCCCTTGGCAGCCTCATAAAGACTTGTCGTCTCTGTAGATTTGCTGTTCTGGACATTCAAATACATTGAGTCATACAATATACAGCCTTTGTGCCTAGTTCTTTCACTTAACGTTTCAAAGTCCATGCATGTGGTAGCGTGTGTCAGTGCTTAACCCTCCTCATGGCCGGATGCTCCATTGTAGGAATATCTCACATTTCGTTTATCCACTTACAGGCGATGGACATTTGGGTTTCTACGTTTTGGCTATTGATGCTGCTACGCACATTCATGTGCAGGTTTTTGTGTAGACGTGTGTTTCCTGTCTGTTGGGTGAATACCGAGTGGTATGCTGGGTCATATATAGCAGCCGTAACACTTTTCGCCCCTCCCCGCCGTGGACGAGGGCTCCAGGTCCTCCACGCCCTTTCAGCACTTTTCACTGTCCGCCTTTTGGGTGACAGTCACCCTCGTGGGTGTGGAGTGGAGGCTCCGTGTGGTTTTGTCTGCATCTGCCTATGGCTCATGATGTTCATGATGGCGGCCCATCTTCCTGTGCGTAGGGGGCAAACGTATATCTTTGGAGAAATACCTATTGAAATCCTTGGACCACTTTAAAAGTTTTGTTGTTGAATTATAGGAGTTCTTTCTATGGTCCAGATGCTCCCCTTTCCAGATGGATGGTTTGCAGATATTTCCTCCCATTCCACCCCCCTTTCCTGAGCGTGTCCTTTGAAGCACAAAGGTTGGCTTGTTTTCCTCTAAGTTGCAGTTCCTATAAGCGGATTCCAGTTCACCTATTATTTTTTTCTGTTGCTTGTGCCTTAGCTGTCATATCACAGATACCATTGCCTAATCTGAGATCCCGGAAATCAATCCACGTGCTTGCCTCTAAGAGTTTTATAGTTTTAGCTCTTACATTCGATCATTGACCCATTTTGAGTTCATTTTGTGTGTGGTGTGAGGTAGGCGTCCATCTTCATTCTTTTGCTTGTGAATAACTAGCTGTCCCAGCATCTGCATTTCCCAGAATGTCCATGTGGCCTTTTAGACTGTCCACTTTCACTGGGCAATCTGCATTTAGGGTTCCTTCGTATCTTTCCTGGCTTCATAGGGGCTTTTCTAAATGCTGAGAGTACTGTGTAAGGACGAGCCCATCACCTCCGGAAGGACCTGACTGTTCTAAGTTTGGACAGTGGTGACTAAAGCTGCCATCGACGTGTGTGCAGGTGTTCCTGTGGGCATACAGAATCGTCCGTGTGTGCCTTTATTACCCTCTGACTGTCCATGGGCTCAGGAGTGATGGCCCTTCTTTCATTCTGAGATTAGTAATTTGTGTCTCCTTCCTTTTTTTCTTAGTTCATCTGGCTAGAGGTTTGTCAATTTTATTGATCTTTTCAAGGAATCCGCTTTTAATTTCATTGATTTTTCTCTATTGATTTCTTCTTTTCACTGATTTCTGTTCTCATTTTAATTATTTACTTGTCCTACTTTAAATTTAATTTGTTCACCTTTTTTTAGTTTCCTAAGGTAGAAACTTAGATAATTGATTTTTTAAAATATATTTTTTTATTGATATCAGAGAGGAAGGGAGAGGGAGAGGTAGAAATACCAATGATGAGAGAGAATCATTGATCAGCTGCCTCCTGCATGCCCCTTACTGGAGACTGAGCCTGCAACCCAGGCATGTGCCCTTGCTGGCTAGGGCAGTGGTTGGCAAACTGTGGCTCGCGAGTCACATGCGGCTCTTTGGCCCCTTTACTGTGGCTCTTCCCCAAAATACCGACTTCTGCGCATGGGCCACAAAGTTTCAATCGCACTGCATGCGCGTCCGCACGTGGTTTTGTGGAAGAGCCACACTCAAGGGGCCAAAGAGCCACATGTGGCTCGTGAGCCACGGTTTGCCGATCACTGATTTAAACTATATAGGTAGGTACATTGTTACTAACTTAATCAGGGTGCTCCTAAGCTGGCCTTTGCTAAAAACGTCCTCAATCTGATTGAGGTATGTTCACTGAGGTCGACCCCTTCCAACTCTCCCATCCTCAACTCGTGCGTAACCCGCGGCCCTGTGCCGTGTGTCCCGACACCCCCACTTCTTCTAACGCCACTTCTTCAAAATAGACTCACCCAGGCCGAAAACCGACTTCTGCGCATGGGCCACGAAGTTTCAATCGCACTGTACGTGCCGACCACTGGTTTAAGTTTAAAAAATTTGGCTCTCAAAAGAAATTTTAATCGTTGTCCTGTTGATATTGGGTCTATTGACTAATGAGTTTGCCGACCGCTGGGTTTGCCCCCTGAATGCCTGCCTGCCCAGCGCTGTGCTGGCTGCTGACGGGGCCGCATTCGCCAGAAGTGCTGAATTAGGTTTGTGATGTGAGGATGATTAGCAGATAATGGTTGCCAGAATAATTGTGTCAAAACAGCAAGAAACAGCAAGAGAATGTGGTGTGTCCTGCATTTCCCTGGTGCTTGCCTGCTGTCCTCGTGTTAGAGACTTTAGGTTGTGCATTTAATCAGTTTTCTTATAATTTTGATCAACTTGACTACAAAAATAACAACAAACATGCCATTTCAGAGAAGCCCTTTGTTATAAGCTGGCAGCTGTTTATTAGTCTCTCAGCGCTTGTCCTTGTCTTCGTAAAAGACCCATTAAAGAGTGATTTCCACCCACATGGGAGGTCTTCCTGCTCCCGCAGTCTTGCCCGGCCTTTCCCGGTCTGCCTCGCCAGGTGCGCTTCCCTCCGCCCAACACCAGGGCCTGCGTGGCGCTGCCTGCGCTGGGCCTGGGGGGGGGTGGGGCTGTCTGTTTCTGTTGTGCACCCCGTGCTGGGGGCAGGCCGCGCGGCCTTCCAGCGGGATTGCGGGGTCCCTTCTTCCAGGCTCCCGGTCACCACTGAACGAGGGGAACCTCGCTGAGGGCTTCCCCGCTCCTCTCTCCTCCCCGAGCAGGTTACGTCTGACCGCCGTGCGTATGGCTGTCTCGGTGCAGTGGCTGTGCGCTTTGCCCCTGGGTGTGTTGGTGCGTGTGCT